GACACTTGGACTGAATCGGAAAAGGTCAATAAGACTTTACCGAGAGAAATAAAAGAGGCCGTTTGGGGCAGAGGGACCTGCACGGCAAAGGCAAGGAGGATTAGAGCCTGGGCGTGTTTGGGTTGTGAGAAATGCAGAGTAGAGGCTGAGATGTCGGGGTAGCAGGTGCTTGGTAAGGTAGGTGGAAGAGGAAGCAAGTTCTTTATGGAGAAAAGCCCTGAAGTTGGCAGCCGCGTAGAGTTGCTTGCACGTGGTTCTGTGGAGAATTGGTTCCGTGAAGAATAGGAGGCGTGGAAGGGGCGTTAGGGCGGTTTTCTGGACCTCGAAGGGCAAGAGTTGTGTTGGTCATGCTCCTCAATTGTCATTCCTTCTCCACACTCCCATTCCTCTGCCCCCCCCCATGCACCCTCTCTCATATGTTTAATATATGTCCCAGCACATGTATAGATCCTTGAAAGATACTAATGTTTTTAGTTTATGTATCAATTTTTAATATGCATGAATGATATTGTGCTAAAGAAGTCTTTCTATTTGTTTTTCCAAAAACATAATGTTTTAGGTGTCTATCCATGTGGCTAGATATACCGGGAGTCCATTAGTTCTGTCCACTAATAGTATCAGATTTGTGTGCCTAATAAAATTTACTTTTACTTTACCTTGTTGTTGTTGTTGTCATCTAGTCTATTCCAACTCTGCAAATAGTTAAATGCTGGACTATTAACCGAAAGGTTGTAAGTTCAAACCCACCTGGAGGCATTCCGGAAGACAGGCCTGGTAATCTGCTTCTGAAAGGTTACAGCCTTGAAAACCGTGTGGAGCAGTTCTACTCTGCACTCGTGGGTTTGCCATGAGTTACTTTTACTTTATTTGTCCTCAAATGATGGACAGTTAGGTTGACAGCAGTTCCTTGCTACCACAGATAATGCTGGTATGACTATTACACATGTCCCTTTATGGCCCAATGAGAAAGAAATAGAACTGCTCGGTCATGGAGTCTCCACACACTGGGCTTCACTCTGCCTCCCTGCTCTCCAGGATGGCTTTGCCAGTTGTCTCTCCCATCAATGGCATGTGAAGATAGGAAAATTCCTGTTTCCTCCCTTATATGCTAACATTTAGTCTTAATTTCTATCTGCCTGATATCAATAAAGTAGAATTACAGTTTGATTTTTCATTTGTATTTCTTTGATGATTGGTAATGTTACCCATTCTTCCATATTCTTAAGAACCATTCCAGTTTTTTCTTCCATGAATTACCTATTTATATTCTTGGCCTGTTTTCCTGCTGGATTTCCTATTATTTTTCTGAATGAATTGAAGGAGTTCCTTATGTATTCTAAATACGAATCCCTGTCCGTCTTCGGTGTTGCAGACATCACCCAATCTTTCACACATCCTGATAGTTGGGTCTTTGGTGTTCTGCAATGAAGGGATAATCCTTACTTTTGATGTAGCCAAATGCATCCAATTTCAGCCTTGTAGAGTATGCTTTTGGGTCTTGTTTAAGACTCTCTCCCCTCCCAAGGTCACGAAAATATTCTACATTTTCTTCTATTTGGCTTTATAATTTCATCTTTCACAGTTAGGTCTTAATCCACCTGGAGTTCACCTTGTATCACTTTGCATTTATTACAGTGAGAGTCGGGAGTCAGTTTTATTTTCTCCACACAGTGGGCCAGTTTCCCCAGCAGCACCTACCAACAATCCATTTTTTCCCCACCAATGTGTGACGGGGCCCTGGTGGTGCAGTGGTTAAGAGCTCGGCTGCTAACCAAAAGGTCAGTGGTTCAAATCTACCAGCCACTCCTTGGAAACCCCCATGGGGCAGTACTGCTTTGTCCTATAGGGTTGCTATGAGTGGGAATCAACTCGACGGCAATGGGTAAGTAAGTAAGATGTGTGACAGTGTCTCTATAATGTCATATGCCAAGTCCTCAAGGGCACATGAGTCTGTTTCTGGGCTCTCATTGCTTCTGTCTTGATCTAGATCAGTTTCCATGCCAGTACGGTGCTAGTTTTATTGCTACGGCTTTGTCATATGTCTTAATACCTGGTGGGTACCTAATACCCTCCTTTTTCTTCTTCTTTTTTTTTTTCAGTATTGTCTATGCAGTTCCAAGTGAAAATGGTCAGTGGTAACCCCACATCTGAATTTCAATTTTCTGATCCCTAGTCCACAATTGAAGTTGTCGAGGATTTCATTTTACTTGGATCCACAATCAATGCCCATGGAAGCAGCAGTCAAGAAATCAAACGATGTATTGCATTGGGCAAATCTGCTGCAAGAGACCTCTCTAAAGTGTTTCGTTCTGTTGTGCATAGGGTTGCTATGAGTCAGAACTGACTCAACAC